GGCACATAATTCTTTCACTGTGGGAGAGAAGGATTAATTATTCTTTTATCAATATTAACCAGTAAGCCAATAACAATTACAATTATCTTCTTTATGCCTTTCATAGGCTGACATATCCATTTTCCATCTACTTTGTCATCCCATTTAGTGATTTATGTTTAAGCTGAAGTTTTCCATGTATCTTTCCTCTTAGTTTTTGCTTACTAGAAACTTTCTTTTTCACCCTTCCTGTTTTCAAAATATTTATTTATTTATTTATATTATTATCCTGCATAATTTTGTACCACTTGAAAACCTGGTAATTTTAATATCTTTTTTTTTTTTTAATCAATTAAAACAATTATGTAAACAGCAATGGAGCCAGCACAAATCCCTGTAAGATTCTCGTAGGAACTCCCCCTATTTCAAGTAGAAACCACATTGTGGAAATTATTATTTATTCCTACCTTTTTTTCCTTTCTGAAATCAGTTATTATCCAAGTACTGGTACTTTCCTCTTATTGCAAGGCAGCTTAATTTCTTCAAGACGTTTTAGTGGATTTATCAGGGAGTTTGTTTAAAATACAGGATTTTATATCATCCAAGCTCAGTGTTTCCATATACCTTTCAAAAAACTCTCCTAGGTTTGTGTACTTATAAGACCGTATACACAAACCTACTATTCCCCTGTATGAATATCTCATAGGACACATAAGCCAACACTTTTTCTATCCTTATCTTTGTTGAATCCTTCTGTCTTTAAATCATGATCATTTATGAGCCCTTCAAAGTCAACAAAAGCAGGCTTCCTGCTTCTGATGTGTTTGGAAGAGGTTTTGCAATAAAGTTTTATACCATTACCAACATTTTCCTTTAAATGCTTTTGGCCTGCCTTTGTGCAGTTTTAACTTGCCAGAGGTTTTGCTATTTTCTGTTTCCCTCATCTGAACATAATTTTTCTTAGGAGTGCCTTTTTGTTTTTAATACTACCCTTTGTTCTCATGTAGAGCTCTGCTAATCCTTCAGAGGTGCTCTTACTGGCTTCGATAGATGATAGTTACTCAGAAATTCTAATACAAGTCATTTTCCCCTTTGGCTATTCCTTTTAATTTACTTTTAACAAACTTCCTTGATTTTATGTCGTCCTCTTTTCAATGTTCACTGTTGCTATGGTAAATTTATTTAGCCTTTTCACTTCTACAAGACTGTTGAATTTGAATATATTATGATCAAACTTATGAAACGGTTCTTTGATACATAAGTTCTGAAGAAGGTCTGATGCCCTGCTTGGTCCAAATCAGGAGTTTTACAAGTTCCTCTGACGAATTGCTCTATTTAATGATTTATGTTGTCTAAAAGCTTAAATTCTTAGTAAAGACGTATCATAATATTTATCCAGTGCAGATATAACGGATCTTGCTTTACTCCTGCCTTCACAGACTTTCTATTTCCCCAGCTATGCCACAGGCAGCTATCCTAGACTTTTTACTGTTAGTAACAAAGAACCACAGTAGAGGGAAACTTGAAGCCTGACTTTTCAGGCTTCAAGGATTTAGACCAGAGCAGTTGCTCCTTTTGATTAATTTCCTGGGGTTTATTGATTTGAAGAACCTAAAGAATTGTTAACCAGTAAGCTGTTACGTTATGCTCCTTCCTCTGTGACCCTGAAGTCATCTATTCCCACCCTCCACTGTCCTAGTGAGCTATTCTGCCTGAAAGTTTTAAAGTTTTTAAATCTGTGTTTTTCCTAAGCTTTAAGTTTATTTTGCTAATGAATAGCTCAAGAATCTAGATGTACAGAGGTCTGGATAATAGCAGAAAGCAAGTTGGGAATCATCCAGGGTGTAGGTCTAAACATTTGAGTTCCCGGTTGACTTTCGTGCTTTTACTTAAGAGTCTCTAGCTGCTTTTAAGTCCAGTGGCTTAGTCCTGGAAAAGGATGCTGTTTTCTAGTTCAGGGACAATCCAAGCATAACATTGCCATTTCAAATAATATCCTGTATCATTGTTTGACTTTTTTGATATCCTTGAACCTTGGCCACATTTATGTTATATATATTCACAGAATTCAGTTATAGAGATTTCAATATAAGAAAAGGATTGGTAGGGCTTTCTACAATCAATATTGATATATAAATAGATTTGTAATCACAAGGCTAGTGAAGTGCAGCAATGATGGAGAATAGTGAGGTTCTCATTTTTTCTGCCTCTGGCCTCTTTGATTCTAGGTGTAGAGCATTTATTGGCAGCACCTTCAGGAGCTGACAAGACTTAGGGAACAAGCCATGTTCATTCTGCTTCCCAGATCCATAATTTCAGCATGTCTTTGTATGTTTTCTCTAATCCTTTTCTAGCTGGTTAGGCAGCATCCCCTCCAGCCCCCAAGAGAAGCGTTTGTCAGAGATAAGCCTGCTCCTTAACAACACCTAAGGATACGAGATCTGGAGTCTCTTCCGCCTTTCTGATTCTGTCTGATATAAAAGCTCCATTACAGGGAATAAAAGATGAATTTATTTAACTGAAAATGTGCATTGGAAAACCAAGAAAAACATCCTTCTGTAAATAAATATTTTGGGCAGCACAAGTCTGAAGACACTCTTCTGTGGTATGTGGAAGATCTGTCACTTTGGAGATTTAAAATGAATGGGCACCCTGTTTAATTTATATTAAAGGCTTTTTGCCTGGTCATGATGATGGACTAATTAATTGAAGCAGCCTCTTAATTTTAGGTTTTCTGATTCTCAAGCACTAAAAAGGAAACAGGAACAACCACCCTCTAAGAAGGGTAAGGTTCGAATACAGGAAAGTGAAGATGCTGCCACAATTGGTAATGTCAGGATAAAGTAGCCATTGGAGTCAGGTGACTAAAAACAGAAGTCAAAATATTATTGACATGTACAGTCAAACAACAACATGGAGAAAATAAAGAAAAAGGAATGAAAGCAAGGGCAGCAAGTAAAAAATAGGATGAAATATGAAAAGGTCCAATGATGTCAGATTAAGCAAAGGAAAACAGTGAGAAACCTACTGGAAAAAAATGGCAAGTAAGCTCTGGTTAATTCTCTTTTAATGCATGACTGTAGAGAAAGCTTTAAATGCTACCTATGGCTCTGCTGGCGATTGTGAACTGCTCATTTTCCATCTGAGAGAATCTAGAAAAGAGCAATAGCTGGATACTACAGTAGTAATTGCCTTTACTTGCAAAACAGTGATACCTAATAAAATTTGATATTTTGTGGTCAGCTACTTACCACACAACAATCCCTTCTTTCTCCAACATAGGTTTTGCAAATACATGACTGTTTCGCACAACTACATTTCAGGTTGAGACTAAAGGGAAAATGTAACCATTCAGTGGAATTGCTGATTGTAATTCTTTTTAACTTCTTAACATTACATGGCAGATCTATAAACTTTTCACTTTTTGGTATGTGGGATAACCTGAAGTATTGCACTTTTTACAAGAAAACAATGCAGGGAATTCGTGTTCGAGAAACTGGTTTTGCAATACAGTTCACCCATGAAAAAAAATCTCCTAATTGTAATTCCAGTTTATTCTTTTGGGCTGCAATTTTTCAAGACTACAAAATGCACTTCAAAGATGGAAGAAGATTATAGGGTATGTCTTTTTCCACGAGCAGAGGGGTCACTTTGTCACTGTATTTGGCTAGTGACATCAAATAACCCAATGCTAATGAACAGGAAATGTGCAGAATGATTAGTAAGTGTTAATGTCAGATGAGAACGACCAAAATTTAATTCCTTTCAAGCTTTGTTAGACTTCGTATCAGTGAATACACTGCAGATTTATCAAAGCTTATAAAAGTTTGCCTCAAAAGCAGACAGTACAATTTTGTACAGAGGTAGATGAACAGACTTTTCTCAGACACGCTGGCCCATTTCCTATTTATTCTGCAAAACACTTAAATCAAGTATAACTTTACTTGTTACAAGGGAAAACAAACAAACAAAAAACCCCGCCCAACCCTTTTGAGACTGCTTTGGAAAAAAATAACTTCTGACTCAAGGTAGTTTTAAATTACTTTAAACAATGTTATCTCACTGAAGTGATAGAGATCTCTTTTACAAAGGGTTTCCACCCCTGAGGAAGAAGCCATTTGTACTGGTCCACATTAAAAGCCACAGTAATCCATAACCCGACTGAGGAAATTGTGGTCAGCTTTCACCCTTTCCCCCTGCCGTTGGTTCTCAGGATCTCTGTTCCATGAAGGGAATTTCCTCATCTCGAAGCAGGCTAAACTTTCAGGAACCTGAAAAAGAGTAGTATTTTGGAATTCAGTATTTTTTAATCTACTTAAAACCCTGTGCTGTTGCAAAAGTAGAAGTTCCTGTCACTTTTATTTCTCCAAGTATAGCAAAACCGGGTTTAGGTCACTTCCAGCTGATATACTCGCCAATGTCTTGTTATCACAGTTTACATACAAAATGAAAAGTATGCTGTTTGACACCCTGTTTTCCAAAGCAGAGTGGGTCAAAACCTTACGCCTATGCTGCTCACCGAACTGCAAGCGAGCCAGTCCTTGGTTTCCAGCAGCCTGAGCTTTTACTTTCCCTGTCCCTTCTAGCTTTGTCAGGAGGGCTCTGCGCTTTCCCGTAACTGATGTATTACCGCAGTACCGGGGCAGATGGAGGCCCCCATCAGTGCTCAACAATATAAACACGTATCAGACGAGTGGCCCCTGTTTCAAAACAAGCCGAACAGCTTTCAAGCTTGCTGCACATTCTCCCGCGCACCCTACGGCAGAGGACGCTGGCCGGCGCTCCTGACGCTGGCTGCCTGCCGCTGGCTGCCAGCCGAGCTCCCGACCAGAGCGCAGCCGCTCCTGGCAAGAGCCGTACTGGGGACCCCGAGGTGCGAGGCCACTCGGCAGCGCGGGGCGGAGCGCAGCGCAGCGGGGACCCGGCTGCCCGACACCGGACAGAAACTTCCGTCGGCACCCCGATCCTTCAGGCGGGTCCTGCTAGAAAGGAGCCACTACCACTGCCGGCATGAGACCCCTCGCCGCCGGCCGGAAAGCGGTAGCAGCTGTGCAAGGCGGGGCCCGGTGGCCGCCCCGCCTCCCTCCTCGGGGATGCCGGGATGTTTACGGGCCCGGCAAGAGCAGCAGGGGGCGGGGAGAAGGTTCGTGGTGTCGCCGGCGTCCGAGTCATCAGCCAGGAACCCCGTTAGGCGCCCACGGCCAGCGCCGCCCCGGTGCCGGCCCTTAGGCTCTGCAGAAGCCGGGGAGGAGAGGAAGCCGGTTCCGGGCTCTTGTGCCAAGAGAAGGCGGAGCCAGGCTTCTCGGTGAGCGGAGCGGTGGCAGGGCTACTGGGCGGGCGCGGTGCGGGGCTGGAGCGGCGGTCCCGCTGGCCGTGCCCCGGCTCGTGGAGGCGCTTCCCCTTCTCCTCCGTGCGGGCAGCTGCTGGGGGTCCCGCCTCCCGCTTCTTCCCACTGGTTACTGGGGCTCTCGCCCGTAGCACCATTGGACGCGGGAGCTGCCGCTCCGCCCGCTGCAGGGGGAGGGAGGGAGGGAGCGGTGCGGGTCTGGAAGCGAGAAACTTTTTGCGCGGCGGGGGGGAGCGGGGTGGTGGCGTGAGGCCCCGCGGCGGTGACTGCGCTTTGCACGGCGTATTGCTGTCTGCCCGGCGGCCGCAGGGGCAGGGCGGGTAGCACAGGCGGGACGGGGCGGTATGATGCGGTTCCGGAGGGCTGTTGTGGCGGTTCTGCCGGCGGCGGCTGGCCCCGCTGCGGAGCAAGGCTGTCTGTGTCTAGAGACGAGCGGGCGGCTGGGGACTCTGCCCGGCGGCGGCGGCGGCCCGGCCACCTCGGCCCGCCTCTGGCTGCTTGCGGCCTGGCCGCAGTGTCTCTGTCCCGGCTGAGCTTTTCAAGTTCATACCGCAAGCGGAGCTTCTCTCCGCGATGTTTTCCTCATTTCCAGCAGTTCCATGTAGGTTTCTCTGCCCTCCTCTCACCTGGAGCTCGGTGTCAGCGATGCTCACCCGGGTAGCGCAGGGGGAAAGCCCCGTCTGGAGGGTTTCACACAGCGCTCAGTAAAAACAGCGTCGTCACTGAGAGCCGCGGCCCTGTGGCCTGAGTCCAGGTTGCCCCGTCCCAGGCGGGAGCCCACAGTTCTGCCCCTCTGCCTCCTGTCCGGGAAGCACCCTCGGCTGAAGGAGCCGCCGGCGCACCGGCAGCGCCCGGGCAGTCTGAGGGCAAGGGGTGCCTGGCCGTGAGGGTCCCTCTTGCAGGTTCCAGGATTACCACCCTCCTCCTCTCATCGGTTGGTGAGGCTCCCAGATGGTGGCAGCGCCAGTGGCTCTGCGAGGCTGCGAGGAGCTGCGGCCTAGAAGAAAAAGCTGGAAGTGAGGCAGTCTCCATCTGTTGAGTTCGTCTGCCCCCCTCTTTATTTACTTTACGTTTCACCGCTTATACTAGTGCTGGCCCAGAATTCCATTTTGTGCCCATGAGAACCATAGCTACTTGGCTTTAGGATTCAGAAGTTCGGAATATTGTTCTTCAGCTGGAACGTGGTTTGTTTTGCTGTGCATTTTGTCAGGAGTATCGCTTCTTGAATGGTAAAACTACCTAGGATGTTAAACCTGATTCTGATCAAAGACGTTGAGGGGTGTGTATGTTAAACCACACAAGTATTTGGTTCATTTCTTGCACCAAGTGAACGACAAGCTTGTCACCTTTGAGGTGATAGCACTGTTTTCTCGGGTTGCAATGGCAGCATCACTTCTCAGGAAAGGTCACAGATGCATAGTGATTCTGCTAAATGAGCTGGATATGTTTCCTATATAAAGTTGTATTCCAAGCTTGAGATGCAGAAATTACAGTGAATGATATGTTAATCTACAAGGTAGGTACTTTGGATGATTAGATGCAAAGTGGATGTTTGCAGCTCTGCTAAATGAGGAAGGATGAAATATACAAATATTTAATTTTCAAGGCTATCTAGGAGACAGTTCAGTGTTGCAGTGCTTTAGAAATGTCTTATTTTGAAATTTTGGACTTGGGCTGTCTTGAGAGAGGTAAAATGTAGTAGAAAACAGTCATTAGTTCATGGCCTACGAAAAACTTGGGCAGAGGAAGGAAAACTTTCGTGTTGTGGAAAGAGAGAAACTTACAAGCAACATCCGATGGCTTTAAAGTAAGAAAGCCCTCCAGCTTTGTGTTTGTTTTTTTTTTCCCTTTTTGGTACTGAAAGGAAGGCTATATTAAGAATACTTGTTCTTTAATTTCAAAACATGAACCTATTATAAACATCTGATGGTTGAGTAAATAACTTAAGAAAGCACACTCTAGAGACTTTCACTGCAAGGGTAGAGATATTGCCTTTATCAGATACCTTGTATTCAATATACCAGTTAGTCTTTGGAATTAAAAAGTAATTTGAGAACAAATCACAGAACCCCAGCCAACTAAAAATCCTTCTGATTGACTTATCTTCCAGGGTGTATAAGAATTAGACAGAATCTTGTCCCCACCATAGAAACTTCTTTCCAAGGAAGAAAAAAAAGTAACATTTTAGAGTTCATCTAAAGATCTGTGAGTGCCTGAGAAACTCAAATGACAAACAGAGAAGTCAGTTGTTTATTTTATGGTGACCTATGGTATCTTATGGTAAGATAGAGCCGTATAGCCCACCCCTATCTTTTTTGTGCAACAGATTTAAGCTCAGTTGGACAAAATGTAGCCAGTCTAGTATATTTGTTCACACAGACAATTGGGTGAGGCAGTTACTTCATGCATGCACCCCCCCCCCCCCCCCCATGTATAGTAAACTTAATATAGTGTCCTGCATTTATACTGCGCTGTGTTCAGTTGTATCATCATTGATGCCTGTTGCCGTCTGAAGTTTGACATTGTTCCAAACATCTGTGCTGAATGGTTGAGTTCATGTTACCTTGGAAAGTCTCCCGGGAAAAGTCAAACTGCAGTAACTTCTGCCTCCAAGGGAATTCTTTTGATTGTTTGGGGCTTATCCAAAAACCCCTCCTGATTCCAGAGAAGCAGTACTTGGGAGGGCAGGATTATCTTATGAAGGTTTATACTATGGATAGTCACGGGTGTTACCTGACTAATTTCCAGAGAATTTGTTCAGTTTAGCTACATTCCATGTGCTTTGCAACAGAGTTGAAAATAACTGACCAAAATACCAAAGTGGTGATAAGGGCATCCTTTAAAGCACTGATTTGCTGTATTTATCACCGTTTGACCCCTCATGGCCACATGGGAAGGAACTCAGCCCTAGAAAGAAGTACAGCATCACAACCTGTTTCCTTTTCAGTAATTATTGAAAGGATTCTTCCTGTCAGGTTAGTTTAAAAAGCAGAAGAGAAGCACTGTTATTGAGTTGCTTCTCTGAAGATAATTCTATGTGTTTGTGTCTGGCATGTGAAACACAACTGCAGTTCAGTTGTGAAATCTTTTGGAGAGGTTTGAGTTAGGTGAAGTGTTGATGAACCAGACTTTTTCAGTTCATTTCAATATCCTGTTGTCAGTGTATAGAATTCACTAAATTATTGTTTCCTTGAAAGCTGGAAGGCAAAAATACCACAGGTGAACTTAAAGTGAATTCTAAAATGAATAAAAACTTGTGATGGTAAAATGCACAGCATTCTGTCCTGTAGAGGCCCTTCTTCTGTACCCTTTTCATCCTCATCTGAAAGCAGATCCAAAAAAGGAGTTGTCTTTGCAGCAGTGAATATCCAGTGCTTGCCCTGACTGAAATTCAGAACTGTGTGTTAGGTATGTGCTTGGGAAGTTCATGGAGATAAGTAGGCCTTCAGAAGAAGAGCAGCAAGCAGTCTGCAAACAGAGCACTTAATGTACAGCTAGTCATCGAGGGTACTCCAAAACCAGGAATGGATTGTGCATATTTTATCCAGTGAAACATAGAAACAGCTGTGAGCTTGAATGTTGGCCTGCTTCTGAAGCAAGTGTGCTGGCTGCTAGCTGCTTTGCTTCTGGACTCAGGGATCCTGGATTACTTGCTACTGTCATGCATGGTTTTGGGATTCAAAGGTAATGATAGAGGATATATATTTAACAGAAAGCCTGTTAAATATGGGTGGTGTTTCTTTTGTGATTCTATGTAGTACTTCATTGATTTCATTGTTTTTGGGGTAGCACAGTTTTTTAAACTACGTACTTGTCCTGGGTTCAGCAGTAGCAGTCATTTTTCTCCTCCTTGGTAGCTGGTGCAGTGCAGTGTTTTGACTTTTGGCCTGGGAACAGAGCTGATAACAATGATGTTTTGGTTTGGCCAAGGACTTTGTGAGCCTCATGCTCTGCCAGGGAGGAGGGGAAGCCAGGAAGAAGCAGAGACAGGACACCTGACCCAAACTGACCAAAGAGGTATTCCATACCACAGCACGTCATGGCCAGGAGGTAACTGGGAGTTAGCCGGAAGGGCTGGGAGACTGTGGGGCTGGAGGAGGTATGGGTCAGTGCTTGGTTGGGCTGGGGGGGGGGGGGGGGGGGGGGAGTTATCGGTCAGCTGGTGGTGAGATGTTGTATTCTCTTCCCTTGTTATTTCCTTTATCATTGTTATTATTGGTGGTAGCAGTAGTGATTTGTGTTATACCTTAGTTACTAAACTGTTCTTATCTCAACCTGTAGGAGTTGCATTCTTTTTGATTCTCCTCTCTGTCCCTCCCGGAGTAGGGGGAGGGCAAGAAGAGTGGGGGGGGGGGGGGGGGGGAGTGAGTGAGTGAAGGAGCCTGGGTTTAAACCACGACTGCAGATATAGATATATATATATATATTTTTTTTTCTTCTCTCAGCTTGTTAATGTGCATCTAGCACCTACAGTATATCACAAGGTGTTGTCTTGCATTTGTTTCTGAGGTTATTTAGACATTTCTTTAAGGATTATGTGTAATTTATTGTTAAATGTGTACTGCTTCACCTGTAGCAATGTGGATGTTATCAGCCATGGTTGTGGCACAGTTGCATGTGGCCAGCCTTTCCAATTGGGTGGTTTTCCCTGTGTGCTTGCCAATAATAGGTTTGTCTGGTTTTTCATTTTTCCTGAATCTTTTAATTCCTGTGTGAAGTCCTGTATACGCTTTTAGTGAATCACTGCAATATCTCTTTATGAGTAATTTATTTTTACAGATGTATTTAACTTTCCC